GTGTGTGCGCGCGCGCGCGGGCACGGGGCTGCAAGCATGCATGGGTGCCTGCGTGCATGGGTGGGTGTGCAGACATGCGAACCTAAAAGAGTGTAAACCTTGTCTCAGCTGCCAGTGAGCGTGTTCTGTGTGTGTCCTTGAGTGTCCTGGGTGATGTGTGTGTGTGTTGTGGGGGAAGACTGAGTGTGAGGGGTGCTCCGGCCTCAGGGGACGGTGGCCTCCCTGCCAGGCACTTCCCTCTGCAGCTCATTAGTACCCAAGGCCTAAATTCACTGCTCTGACTGCCCCACCCACGGCTCTGACCTCATTAGGCTTCTGCCCCTTCTTCCTAGGACAGTGCGATGGGGGAGAGGAATGACTCCTTAATCTCAGCACAGGATCCCGTGGGGGAGGAGGGAAAGTCCTGGGGGTGGGAGGAGAGGGGAGCCGGGGCACAGAACTTAATATAGTCACAGGGCAGCCTCGGAGGATGCAGCTCCTGTTACACCTGCCACCTCAGCCATCATATGACCTGCTGCTGCTGGCAAGGCGTGGGCAGGCTGAGAGCACCTGGTCCTGGAAGTGCTCAGGGACACAGCTCAGCTGGGTGGTGCTGACTCCAACTGGGCCAGGCCAGGAAGGGAGGACGGGGTGGGGGCCTCCAGCACTGATCCCAGCACAGCCACCAAAGAAACAGGTCCATCTGATCCCCCACCTCCCTCCCTCACCCTCCAGATCCAAGGTCCCAGACGATGGCGCACCTATGGGTAGAGCCCTGAGCGAGGCGTAGGGGTGAGAGTCGGGATGAGAAGGAGCAGGGCGGCCAGCTCAGCAGCCCCTTCCCGGCCATTCCAGGAAGGTGGCTTGTGTGCTCCTCCTGCATACGCCTCCTGAGCCCACACCGAGGGGGACACCTCCCTGCCCTCAGGGAGCCCCTGTCTGACGGAAATGTTGCGTCAAATACCATCTGTTGAGTATCCAGTGTGACCTTGGGGATTTACTCAACACCTCAGAACCTCAGTTTTCCGGTCTGTGAAATGGCAACACTGCCATGTCCCTCAAAGGTAATGAGTGAATGCCTGGCAGATAGGATAAGCTGAATAAAGGCCACTCTTCTTCTTCAATGCAGGCTTTTCATGGAAGAAATCATTACAGTTGGGTTTTTGTTTGTGTTTTTTAGATATGTTTGTATTGACTTTTATTTTTGAGAGAGAGAGAGGAAGGGAGAGGGGTAGAGAGAGAGAAACGTCAATGAGAGAGGACATCGATAGGCTGCCTCCTGCACACCCACTATTGGGAGTTGAGCCGACAACCCAGGCATGTGCCCTGACCTGACTGGGAATCAAACCAATGATCTCTTGGTTCATGGGTCAAAGGTCAACCACTGAGCCACACAGGCACATTTGGTTTTTAACTGGGGAAGTATACTGCAGTAAGATCCTGTGCGTCCTCCATTTCCACCGAGAGATAGGTCGTCTCTGGAGGGGCTGGCTGCTTTGACACCCCAAGGTCTCCACAGGCAGCACCAAGGTCAATGTTTACAGTCAACAAATATCTTGGAAAGTCAGTCACACAAGTGACCCCAGGCCTGAGGACACCAGTGCAGCCACCCATCCAGAAGATGCTATCCAGGGGCTCCTGGCCCTTGACCTCCTGGAAACCCAGTTTTTTACATTTACTTCTTATTGAGGTGTAAGGTTTGTGCACCAAATTGAACAGCTGTCAAGGGTGCAGCTTAGTGAATCTGTATGAATGAATATGCCCATGTAACCACCACCCACATCAAGCATTGAGTACACCAGCACCCGAGGAGGGTCCCGTAAGCCCCTCCTGTCAATCCTGCCCCCCAGAGGTGACCACCATTCTGACCTGTATCACCACAGACTGGTCCACCTACAAATGCACTCGCGCGAGCACTCTCTGTGTCTGGCCCAGTGTGTTTGACGTGAGGTCTGTGTGGCTCGCCCCGGCTGTTCCTGCAACACCAGCTCTTCCTTTCCGTGGCTGAGTGGCTTCCCATTGGCTGAGCCACGATTTATTTATCTAGTCTCCTCTGATGGACATTGGGGTTGTTTCCAGTCATAATTAATATGACTAGAGCAGCCATACTCACACATATCTTTTGTGCACATCAACATGGCACCCCATGCTGGAGAGCAGACTCCGAGGGGTTGCCTTCCAGAGCTCCAGGGAAGAAAAGGGGGGTTAAAGGCTATTGGGCTGCTCCCTGGGGTCATGAGTTTTCTGGGTCCACCCGGCCAGTCACAGGAGAGGAGGACAGAGACAGAGAAGCCCCCAAGAGGAACTTCTCCAACCTCATCACTGAGCCTCGAGCCAGCCTCTGTGTGTGTGTGTGTGTGTGTGTGTGTGTGTGTGTGTGTGTGTGTTTATATTCATTTCCTGCGGCTGCCATAACAAATTACCACAGACTCAGTGGCTTATAACAACAGAAATGTGTTCTCTCACGGTTCTGGAGGCCGGAAGCTGGAAATCCAGGTGTCAGCAAGCATGGCTCCTACGGAGGCTCCGAGGGAGAGTCTGTTCCATGCCTCTCTCCCTCATCCTTGGGGTTCCTTGGCTTGTAGACACATCACTGCAATCTCCGCCCCCACCCTCACAAGGCCTTCTCTGTGTGTCTCCACATCTCTGTGTCTCCAAATCTTTCTCTCCCCCAAGGACACCAGTTACGGGACTTAGGACCCATTCTAATCCAGTAAGATCCCATTTGAACTTGATTTCATCGACAAAGACCCTATTTCCAACTGAGGTCACATTTCCAGGTACTGAGGACTTCAACATATCTTTTTTTATTATTATTTTTACTAGAGGCCCGGTGCACAAAATTCATGCATGGGCAGGATCGGGGGGGGGGGTCCCCTCAGCCCAGCCTGCACCCTCTCCAATCTGGGACCCCTCGGGGGATGTCCAACTGTCAGATCCTGGGGATCAGGCCTAAACCAGCAGTCGGACATCCCTCTCACAATCTTGGACTACTGGCTCCTAATCACTCACCTGCCTGCCTGCCTGCCTGCCTGGTCACCCCTCACAGCCTGCTGTCCAGTCGTTTGGTTATCCCTCACTAAGCCCCCTGCAGGCCTGGTGGTAGGCAGCCATCTTGTGAGGGCGTGAGGGTTAATTTGCAGATGACCTCTTTATTATATAGGATTGTTGAAGACTTCAACATATCTTTAAGGGAACACAATGCAACCAACAACAGTGATTATGACTTTGTATGTTTGTGTGTGGGTGTACGTGAGTGTCTATGTGGGTGTGTATAGGTGTGAAGGAGGACTGAGTGAGTGCATATGTATGTATGTGTGTGTGTGTGATTGTAAGGATGTGCTATGCAGCTGTGGGCACATATATATGAGGGAGCGTGCATGTGCCCTTCTGTCCGTGGCTCACACACCCTATGGGACAGGCTGAGGAGGGTGACGAGGCAGCATGGTCTCAGTGGGCCTGACTCCCTTCCGTGGTTGAAGAGGGGCTTGGGGCCAGCGAGCGGCCTTGCCTCATGAATCTGGAAGTGAGCTGTGAGAAGCAAGAATAAGGCTGTTTGCTGAGTTGGGCACTGACTGGGAGGCCAAGGCAGTGGCTCTCTGGTGGCAGCGCCTGTTCCCAGGTCCTCTTCCAGGAACCTTCCTGGAAGGCCCTTCCACCCCATCTCCCTTCCTCTGCACCCCAGTTGCCTGGACTGGGAGATGCTGGCTGATTCATCCCCTCGGGGACTGGACGCCAGCACTAAACTACCTGTTATGTCTGCTGGGTGGGGGTGGGAAGGTAGCCAGCCCCTCCCAGGCCCCACTCCCAGGCCAATCCAGAGTAGCACCCAATCACTGTCCATGCCTGGGCTGGGGCTGGACCCCAGGAAATGGAGAAAGACAGAGGGGAGCACCTGGCCAGGTAAGGCCCAGGATGATGAGGGCTGCCTGCCTCCCCAGAGCAGCTCTTTTAGGCAAACCCACACCCAGCAACAGGACACTGGGGGGCCTCCTCACTAGTAATGTCAGCTCCAGGTCTGCTCTGAGCCGCTTATCTCATTTAAACTTCACAGCCACGTTTAAAAGCTGTTCTCATCATCCCCTTCGACAGATGCCATCACTGAGGCACTAAGGAGTTAAATGATCTGCCTGAGATTACACAGTTATTCATAATTGTTGGAACATTTTTATTTTCTCTGAAAATCTGCAGCCTCCCCATTCTCCAGACCCAGACCATGGCTGCTCCCACTGCAGCCCACCATCGCAGTGCAGTCTTCCCCAGGAGGACCCCCTGGCCGCCGGGGGGTCTGGGGGTGCAGGGGACCAGTTAGGGGTGGTCTCTCCTCTCGTCCCACCCCCTGGCTCCTCTGTGGTGTACTAGTTTTGTTTCCGGTGTGGCAGCAAGCTTATTGTCTCTCTGAGTGTGTCTGTGGGTTT